TCTCTCCATAAACAGGAACTCCAGTGAGTACGGATCGAAAGTTTCCCCGTCCGTACAGCCATTTTTAAGTATGCGTTGGACAGGCCTGTTCGATAAGATAAACGACCGAAAAGGCCGTCTGCTAGCAGTCAAGTTGTTTCGGTTACGGGCCAAATATCCAGCTCAATACCAAAATATCAAATCTCCCGACTGATCGTCATACATGCCTTGTCACATTAGTTGTGAGAATTTAGTGATTAATCAAGACGTTATTGTAGTTGACGATTTTCCTTATTCTTATTACTTGTCACTGATGTTGTGAGGAAAATTTATGTTACGATTACCCCTACGACGTTAAAGTTGAAGCAGTAAAAGACTGTTGGAAAGTTAAATTCTGCCACCTTTGCTTTCCTCGAAACTAGCTGACAGCGAGTCCCTATCAGACAACCAATAACAGAGATATACATGAACTATGAAATTTGCTAGAACATTTCTTTGCACCTATAGAAAGTCAAAAAGTAATACATTATCAGTCATTTAAACTTATTTATTTATTGCGGCACAATTAAGTCATTCTTCTATTTTTCTTTTCACATCTTGAAACCGAACGGAAACGTGAACGTACGAACATGACTAAAAATGTAAGCCTAAACAGCTAAAACCCAGAATAGGAGAAACGTTGAGACTAACGCTGAAACCAATATTTTTAACCATTAAAGATTGAAGCGCATAAAAATGAGCATAAGCCATTGTCAGGCTAATCAACTTTTTTTGCTGGTTTATCAACAGAAACAAAGCTAGCCATTATTATGAGGCTACCTTCCCGAATGAGCAATATGGCTCTATCTTGCACGTGTTTTTTTTATGCCACATAATAAATCCCTTATTGACCAAGCTTGTTTGGTCAAGATGACTGGATATTGTTCTAGTTTTTCATTTCTGTCTTTATGGGCCCGAACAGCGTCGGTGCAACGTCTTGGCCGAGATCCAGACATTTTGGCCTCACGCTTTTAAAATAAAGAATCCGTTTACAATGATTCCGAAATCTTCTGGAAACTTTACTATCAACTTATTTCCTTAGTATCTTTCGTAGTCGTTATTTCCTAACCCTAACGCTAACATAGGACATGGCCTTAGTTTACGTTTACAAGGCGCTATCGACGCACAGACAACTGCTAAAACGTTTGTTGGCTTGTAAAAAAGTTTTGGCTGCATTCCTAGCGAAAGAATCACGTTTCACGTAGGGGCCAAACCACCCTCTAAATGTTTCGTCAGTTCTTGGGTATTTCACATTATTTCGCATTACTTAAAAAAGTATTGACTCTTTCTACACCAAACTTGGCAGATGAGCAGGAGACCTATTGCCAATTATATTTACTTGAAAAATGTCAGTAAATGTCAAAGTTGTGACGTCACAGTGATGACGTCATGTTTTTTTTGCCACTTTTGAAGTTTTTAATATGCATATGTTTTACAACGTGTTCGAAAGAGGACATCAAGGGGAGTTGAAACCTGAAAAAAATTTTTCCATATCACAAAAATTAAATAAAATATGGCATTTTTAAATATGAAAAATAACACTGCAAAATATGGGGTCCCCCCCTTGAG